AAGAAAATTTTGATTGGTGTGTATATTTTTTGTGTGAATGTCAAAATAATTGAAGTTCTAACCCTAATAAATTGGAAGTGGATTTGGAGTTAGAAAAGCCGAAAAGGAGCATATGGAACTCCTGGCAAGGGAGTAGCATCTCAAGCCCCTGTTTGGTTTAAATAAAAATTAATTTTTTAGTAAAATTTGATTAAAGTTAATGAAATATTTTTAATTAAAAAGTCGTGAATCTTATAAAATATGTTGAATTAAATTTTAATTCACTTTGATAGATGACCAAACAGAGACTAAGAAAAAGTGGAGTCCACTGACAAACTAAGGATGTGTTCGATAGAGATTAAAATTGAAAAACTAGCCGTTATTGTTGATTTTTATTAGAAGAGTGTGACCAAATAACGACTATATTTTCTATTTTAATTGAATTTTAAGCACGAACACACCCTAAGAGTTAGTTGGCCGAGGAATCCTTGGATGTAAAATCATATTCAAAAAATCAATAACTACAAATTTTTGTGGTCAAACTGTCGTCACCTATAACAGTAGTTTTCACTACATTTTGCAAAGCAAAAACTGGGAACTCTATTCAAATTGTTACAAGTCATCCCTCTTAGAATCGACATCTTTGGTGACTTGTATTCCCAGCTAGATGGCTTCTTAAATCCAACATGGACCGACCTTAGGTGACACCTCCGAGGTTTTTTCTACGGGCAATTAATGGATCTCATATCCTTACATTTAATTGAACACACAACAGATTAAATAGGTCATCCCTCATCTAATTCATCAAGTTGGGAATAACACAAAGGATTTTTGCTTTCCCCAATGAACATAGAACGCAAGCTTAATTGGACCAGTTTTGCTTGGTATACCTTCATGGTTGACAGTTCCTTTGACAGTGTGAAGTGACCATTGTTCTAAAAAATGGGAAAATGTGCCGCCTAGGCGCGACACGTGACCAAAACACGTCGAATTCGAGAAATGTGGGAAAAATGCGTTTTCCAACTAA